TTTAATCGCACCCTTTCCTCCTATTGGCTCTTTATCTTTTCTTTTATATTTTCTTTCCACCATTAGACTCATTATCCGGGCAATCTCCCTCTCCTTCTTGCATATCCCGGCAGCTAGGCCTGAATTTGTTCTGGATCACTTGCTTTTGGACTATTGGATGTTTCCAGCTCTTAGAACATTCACTAATCTCTAGCTTTATGCTTCCTTACTTGTCGGGAATATGTATATTGCGCAGTCGGATCGTTTCTTTAATGCTCTGAAGGGTCATGGAACTCTTTGTCGTCTAGTCATTCTCCCCTATGAGAGCCATGGCTATGCCGCAAGAGAGAGCATCCGGCATGTTCTCTGGGAAACAAACAAGTGGCTACAAAAGCATTGTGTACCAAACACTACTGACGGAACTGCTGATCTTGACACTTGCAAAGATGGTGCAACCAAAGAAGCTGCTGACTCTGAAGGAAAAGCATCTGTGCCCAGCGGTGGTGGCAGCCCGGAGCTGGATCAGTCTAATCAAAAGCCAAGGTCATTAATGTGGTAATCAACCACCTACCCTAATTTTCTTGGAAGCGTGCTAATGGATGATGATTCCTGCATCCAAATTCCAATTTCGTACTTGGCAATTAACTTTGTTGGAACTTTTGTAATGTTTTGCAGATTGAATTGCTGAAACTCACCTTTTTTATGGCTTGTATTTGGAGCGACAATACGAAAACGACCGCATGTGCTCAAAAGCCTAACGGAAATAAGTTTTCATTATTTCGGGTAATTTCATGATTAAGGGTGTTATATACCATTGTACCGCAAATTATCATTTTCTGACATTCTCACAGTGAAGGGAAGGGATCAGGGGAATCACAAATCTCTAGGCAATCCGTGACGCGGGAGACCGCTTTGATTGTCCATTCTTAACTAATAAGCAGCCGTTACAATTCTATTAAGGTTTCCCCATTTACTGATGGATTAAATTCTCAAACAATATTGTAAAATAACATTAAAAATTTAAAATGAATTGCAGTCGCGGAGCATTTATATAGGGAGGTCACTTGGTGGAGTTCAAATTAACTGGAGATCCAATTTGAGTTTCACACAATTCGAAAGAGCTTCCCATAAACAAGATGATCATAAAAGAAGTTAACTAGCCTATGGTGCACAATCAATGATAAGTGTATTACCAGTTTCAAAAAAAAAATAAAAATGATAAGGGTATTACCATTGGCTGCTTATTGCTTAATCAGCAATTCACCCACTCCGGGGGCATTTTTCTAGAGTAAAAAGACAAACGCAAAATTTGAATGACTCCTACACTTGAAAGAAATGGGCAAAAGGTACCCGTTTGTCCTTTAACTTTTTGAATTTAAGGTATTTTACCTTTTATATTACGATATATGATATTTTACCCTTCATGTTTCCAAATATATGATTTTTTATTTTTCATGTTTTCGAATTTAGGGAAATAAAGCAAAATTTAACGACAAAAAAGTCACGTGCGGCACTTCCATCGTTAATTTCCGTTATTTATTGACGTGTTCATGCAAACTCATACTTTTTTACACGCTGACAAGTCCAGATTGCACCGAGCTAAAATTCTACCCCAACAATTTAGTTTTTTTTTTTTTTCGTTCCTCACTTTCCTCTTCCCTTCTTCAACCATTTCTTCAACTTCTGCAAATCTCTAACATCTCAACCAATCTATTCACCTCAATCAATCTCTACATTTTGAGTTCTTCAT